GGTGGGGGGGGGGGGGGAATTAACTCATTATTGTTGAATTTCATGGGTCAGGGCAAATACTCAAGACAAATTTAGTCCAACTCCCTCCAGACATTCTTTTAAAGAAAAAGTTGATGACAAATGCTGCACCATCACATAAGCTCACTTGATATTTGGGCCATGTGAGTTAATCAGACAATGTCCTAAGACAAGAATAATACTGAAATGTTACAATATTCCATGTCTTAGTTATTTTTCTGTTCATAGCATCCGAGTCCTTGACCTTGGGCTTAGAGACACAAACTAAATTTATGTAGAAATTAAGACATCCAAATGCATTATTATCAAACAAGTCGGACCCAACTGTTTGTATGTCCCTGCTATATATACTTGACCCAGCCCTGACAAGGCAGACCCAGCTGTTTGTATGTACCCGCTATATAATACTTGACCCAGCCCTGACAAGGCAGGCCCAACTGGTTGTATGTACCTGCTATAGAATACTTGACACAGCCCTAACAAAGCAGCCCCAACTGGTTGTATGTACCTGCTAAATATACTTGACACAGCCCAGACGCAGACCCAACTGCTTGTATGTACCTGCTATAGAATACTTGACACAGCCCTAACAAAGCAGCCCCAACTGGTTGTATGTACCTGCTATATAATACTTAACACAGCCCTGACAAGGCAGACCCAACTGTTTGTAATTTACTTGCTATATAATACTTTACACAGCCCTAACAAGGCAGACCCAACTGTGTGTATGTACCTGCTATATATACTTGACACAGCCCTGACAAGGCAGACCCAACTGTTTGTATGTACCTGCTATATTATACTTGACACAGCCCTGAGGCAGACCCAGCTGTTTGTATGTACCTGCTATATAATACTTGACACAGCCCTAACAAGGCAGACCCAACTGTTTGTATGTACCTGCTATATAATACTTGACACAGCCCTGAGGCAGACCCAACTGCTTGTATGTACCTGCTATATAATACTTGACACAGCCCTAACAAGGCAGACCCAACTGTGTGTATGTACCTGCTATATAATACTTGACACAGCCCTGAGGCAGGGTAAAATCTTCTGGTGGGTTGTTCGCAGTGTTGTCCAACATCTCCCATGGTAATCTGAAAAAGTCCAAACGACTTCACTTGAGGATACTGATATTTCCAATCATATACTGAATATTTCTTTATGAGATGGTTTTTATTCCCAGTCTTTGATGATAGACAAGCAAATATGATGACGGGATTTAATCCAAAAATTTAAGTTATATTAATTTTTCAATTAAAACTTTGGCAATCTATCATATATCAGAGGATTACATTAGTATGAGGTTTGTTATATCTGAACAGGTCAATCCATCTTAGTGTTGTTCATACAATAATTTGATTTTATCAGAAATATATAAGTAGGATACCTGATAATTTGCTAGATCATTAAATGTATATGCACGTTATCAATGGTGATTTTTATGTTACAGCAATAAATACTATGCATGTAACTGTATATCGTAGAAAATGAGTTTAAACAAACATGTAATAACACAGATAATACTTTGTACATATTCAAGTGAGTTTCACATTGAATATTTCTGATGCATGGCACCAGTACAACTTCAATCACTATTAATGCATTACCTGGTATGTCCTTGTTCCTTATATTGTCCTAGTAAATTAATGTTCTTTAATGATTTAGCATAAAAAAATATATAAATAAGACCTATACATTTGTCTGTATTTTTTGGAAAGATGATTGTCTTCAATTCTAAACCTACTACCCGACAGCTTTTGTTATTTCAATAAAGATTAAAATTAACATTTCAATATTTATTTCACTTATGTAAATGTTAAGCAGTTAAATTTTAGAAATTTCAATAGAGAACCAGAAAATCATCAAAATATATAACCTGCTTTATGGTACATCGACAAATTACATGCTGCAAATACTGCACCTGTAATGTTTACGGAGGAAAGTTGTAGCAGATAGACGATATTATTTATAAATTTTTCTACATTTATATCAGAGCAAACAAAGACAATACTGTTACAAAAAACAGTAATAAAACCCCATTATACCTGGTACTAGATTCGGCTGGCAGCTTCATGCTCCTACAGCTTAGCATTCTACGGTCATACAGGCGGACGTAAGGGTCGTTGGCTCCAACGGCCAGAAGGTCAGGCCGCAGAGGGTTCACTGCGATACACTTGGCCTCCGCACTCCCTGCCATGTGAGCATTGAGGTTAATAAGTACATTCTGAGGATTGCCGTTACCACTGCTTTTCTCTGGTGTCCTCAAGTCATGTTGCCTGTAACATGTCCATTCAATTAAAAGTTGTCTGTTAAATATCCAGTAATTTCTGTACCATGTGTCAGGTTTACCATGTACCAATGAATATACATTTATTGTGACTTTGTAAATTATACACAATAGTATGACCACCTTTCTTGCTTCTACAAGGTCGAAAAGTTAAAACTCAAATAAATATGTACTCTGGCAAAGGAAATCTTTTATTGCAGATTGATACAGCCGTGATTTTGTGGATACAATCATGGAGGTGTATAAAAGACTTACATAATGGTTCCATCTTCTGCAGCACTCCAAAACATAAAAGGGACGTTTGGTGCCACAGCGAGACGTTTTACCCGCCCTGCATGGGAAGAAAACACCTGGGTTGTCTCTTGTGTGTTTATGTCATGTACACGAATCTTACAGTCTGCTGCCCCAGTCACTATCACAGAATCATGAGAACTTGGCAGGAACTGAAATTATATAGGCAACTTAAACATTACAACATCTTAACAACATAAACACTGTCTTGCAGAATTGTTCAGTCAATTAGAACAAGAAAACTCCTGATCTGGACACACAATCTTTAGAACAGATTACCATAAACAGTGATTGTGCTAATGAATTGGGTTCTAGATCTGGAAAAGTTTCACAAAGAAGAGGATTTTCATCTATCTTACAAAATAATTACTTCCAGTATGAATATGTTGTATAGGCATGCCTATGTAAAATTGTTCAAACCTTCATAGACACATCTTATTACAATATTAGGGTGTATGACTGTTATGTCATTTAATGAATGCAGTCACATGTCTTGTTTTGAGCCATTTACAATTTGTTTGTTTAACAACATGTTCTCTGAAGATGTAACAGAAACACCTTACATGTTATCTGCAATAATTATCAATGAATGTCATTTTTATTCGGAAACTTATTCATCTGTCAGGTTAAGTGTTAGGAAATGTGAAGTTCAGCTGTGTCTGGAATAACAAAACATCTTCTACATAATAATTTTGGTTCCTCATAGTCATTGATCTTTTCTTAGGACTAGGCTCCCTGGTTAGAATTAAGTACATATAGTAGCGTAAATATGACATACACTACCTTTACAGAGAAGATGTTTCCCTGGTGCCCTGTGCGAATGGTGGATAGCGGTTTGTGGAGGAATGGATCCCAGATTATCACCTGTACATCATCAGACCCACTCGCCAGTAATCTGTAGTCACCAACACATAGTCATAACACACAAAGATTAAACACAAGCAAAGCAAACGATATCAGAAGAATGCAATAGACTTAACAGCATATCGTGTAATATCAGTATGGAATGTTGTTACTTTGGTATTTGATGATACAGTAAAACTTACTAGCCCTGGACAAATCAGTTTCACAAAATTATCTGAAAGAATTAATTCTTGAGATCATGATTGATCTTATAAGAATCCTCACTTATCTTACTGGTTATTGATGTCCAGAACTTATAATACAAGGAATTGTCAGGGGTGTTGACCATATGTTTTTTGGAACATTTTAAAAGAATACTTTGTGAACGACAGGAAAGTTTTTACCAGTTCATTGCACTCATGCATGCTAAATCTTTTGAATGGAAAGTAAGTACCCTCAGAGATGGCATCCCAAAGAGGTCAAGGCTTCATATAACCTCTAAGTAAACGAGACTGAGGTAGTGGTCTAAGCTTACCTAATAGGACCTCTACGTAAACGAGACTGAGGTGTGCAGTGGTCTAAGCTTACCTAATAGGACCTCTACGTAAACAAGACTGAGGTGTGCAGTGGTCTAAGCTTAATAGGACCTCTACGTAAACAAGACTGAGGTAGTGGTCTAAGGTTAATAGGACCTCTACGTAAACTAGACTGAGGTGTGCAGTGGTCTAAGCTTACCTAATAGGACCTCTATGTAAACAAGACTGAGGTGTGCAGTGGTCTAAGCTTAATAGGACCTCTACGTAAACTCGACTGAGGTGTGCAGTGGTCTAAGCTTACCTAATAGGACCTCTATGTAAACAAGACTGAGGTGTGCAGTGGTCTAAGCTTAATAGGACCTCTACGTAAACAAGACTGAGGTGTGCGGTGGTCTAAGCTTAATAGGACCTCTACGTAAACGAGACTGAGGTAGTGGTCTAAGGTTAATAGGACCTCTACGCAAACGAGACTGAGGTGTGGAGTGGTTTAAGTTTAATAGGACCTCTACGTAAACTAGACTGAGGAGTGGAGTGGTCTAAGTTTAATAGGACCTCTACGTAAAGTAGACTGAGGTGTGGAGTGGTTTAAGTTTAATAGGACCTCTACGTAAACTAGACTGAGGAGTGGAGTGGTCTAAGTTTAATAGGACCTCTACGTAAAGTAGACTGAGGTGTGGAGTGGTTTAAGTTTAATAGGACCTCTACGTAAACGAGACTGAGGTAGTGGTCTAAGGTTAATAGGACCTCTACGCAAACGAGACTGAGGTGTGGAGTGGTTTAAGTTTAATAGGACCTCTACGTAAACTAGACTGAGGTGTGGAGTGGTCTAAGTTTAATAGGACCTCTACGTAAACTAGACTGAGGTGTGGAGTGGTCTAAGTTTAATAGGACCTCTACGTAAACGAGACTGAGGTGTGAATCACAACAATGAATACAAACAAGAGATCCCAGAGGGATCTTGGCGCCTACCATAGTACCATCTTCATTAGTTCTGTCAGTTTGATCTTTTCTCTTCTGTTCGATCAATTTGCCTATCTGCCATCATAATCAATCTTTTTATCAACCTCAAAAGTTAGCATGCACAACTCAGGACCACTGAGTGAAGGGGAATCTACATACCAAATTTGAGAAAAATTCCTCCAGTTAATTAGAAATAGCAATATCAAACTTAAACTGTAACAAGATGGTCGGCCGATATGATTTGATATGCATAACTAAGTACAAGAGGAACCCTTATGTGAAATTTGACAAAGATACCCCCCCCCCAAAAAACATTTTGAGCAATAGGGCTAAAACACTTTTTCTCCCTTATTCAATACGACCACCTGCCAGCCATCTTGGTTTTCCAATCATCCCGAAAACTCGAAATGCAGAACTAGGAACCATGGGGAACCAACATTTGAAATTTGAGAAAAAAAACTCCTGAACATTCTAAGAAATAATGCTAACAAACTTTCAATCTCAAATTCAAGATGGCCATCTGTCGGCCATTTTGGTTTTTCCTTCTGTCCCAAAATTGAAAATGCATGACTAGGGGTGATGAGGAACTTTCTTGTCAAACTTGAGAAAGACCCATCCAGAACTTTCTGAAAAACAGCGCTAACAAACAAACTCTCAAATCCAAGATGGCTGTCTGTCGGCCATTTTGGTTTTGTGATCAGTCCCAAAATATGATATGCATAAATAAGGATCATGGGGAACATGTAAGATTTGAGAAAGAACCCTCCAGTACATTGCGAGAAATAGCACTAACATACTTTAACTCTAAATTCAAGATGGCTGCCCGTCAGCCATTTTGGTTTTGCCATTAGTCCCAAAATATGATATGCACAACTAGGGATCATGGGGAAACTTCATGTGAAATTTGAGAAAGATCCCTCCAACACTTTCTGAGAAATAGCGCTAACAAGAATTGTTTAAGGATGGATGGAATGACAGACGGCGGACGAAGGGTGACTTGAATAGATCACCAACTGATGATGGTGGGCTAAAAACAATTTCAGAGGTCCTTGGTCATAGGTCGCAGGGCATGAAAGTCAAACCCTGGTCGCTTTTTTATAAAAAGCAAATGACTAAATCTAGATCCCTATACCAATCTGCCCATTATTATCATCACACAAGATGGGTGGATCAACAATGATCAACATAAGACACAATGTATTTTTTTTTTTTACATGTTTTGGCTGTTTACAACAGCTATTATCAGTGTTATGACTTTTCCAGAATGTTGCACGAACTTACGATCCTTTGTCGTTCCATTCAAGGCAGTTTACACATCCTTGGTGACCCTAAAATGAATTTTAGCTATTTTATATTATCATTTAATTCATTGCTGCATTATAAATAATTACATGTAGGATAGATTGGATATGTTTACCAATAGAAAGTACATCAAATCATTAGAGCTTTGGTGTAGTCTTAATAATGTAATTGTCAACTCATTTCAATTTTCATTGTATCATAAAGAGCTTTATTCTGATGAATAATCATATTTAGGATAATTAATACTTCTTCTATAGGTAAATGTATTCCCATTAATGTAACTAAATTATTATAAAACCTGTATTTCTATATCACAAGTGTACTTTGAAATCAAAGACATGGATAAACATGTACCTGTAGTTCATGGTCCAACCCAAGTCTGTTAATAAAAGCACCTGTCACCTGTAGATCTCTTTGGAATGTCAATCTGCAATTTTCCTAAAAAAATAAGAATGAAAGCTTACTTAGTTAAACACAGAAAAAGTGTTCATATTACGTCCACAAATGGCTATGGACTACAGTTTAAATGTGTTGAGCGATATATGCATGCAACTTCCATGCATGTCAGCGACCTACATGACTAAACAATTCAAACAGTCACAGATGCGACAACAGCAAACAGCAACAAAGTCCCCCCCTCC